CATCATCCCCATATTTGCAGATAAAAAATTTTTTTTAATATTTATTTTTGAAAGAGAGAGAGAGAGATTGAGAGAACCTGTGCAAGCAGCAGAGGGGCAGAGAGGAGGATACAGAATCTGAAGCAGCCTCCATCCAGGCTCCAAGCTGTCAGCACAGAGCCCGATGTGGGGCCCAAACTCACAAACCGCAAGATCATGACCTGAGCCGAAGTCGGATGCTTAACCGACTGAGCCACCCAGGTGCCCCATATTTGTGGTCTTTTTAAACATTGGAGATTTAGTAGGCAAAAATTGCTTGTTGGTATATGGGAGTCATAAGAGCGCACTTAACATTTAGGGTATTAACATTTTGTCATTACTGTTTGTTTTAAATTTGTGTTTTAACACGGCCCATCAAAGGATCAGGGGAAGGGAAGGGCAGCGTGAGAGCTGGGATCTGGGGTGCTCAGGAAGCCCCTCCGACAAGCCCTTCACAATAACCAGTGGCTCCCTCCGCACCCCGTGAGCCAGCTCTGAGGTCACCTTGCTGGCTGGGGGGGGAGGGGTGGCAGCAGGCCAGTGCGAGGCTGGGAGGGGAGCACACCTGGACACCTGATGCAAAGCAGACACCGGAGGGGTGCTCCTCAACCCCTGACTGTCTAGTCTCTGGCCGCCCCTCTCGGCCACCCCTGTGTGGTCAGGCAGTCTAGGTTCACCTGCCTCTGCCCCAGGCGTCTCCCAACAGCGCGTATGGCCCCATGGAGGGTGTCTTCGTGAGGGCCTCCCCCTCCCAGGACAGGAGGGTAGCATCAGGCCTGCACATAGTCCTCTTCAGATGTGGGAGAGAGTGGAAGGGAGGCAATGACATGCTGCTGTTCCTCCCGCGGGGGGTGCGGCCCTGCTCTCTCCCTGTCCCCGGGGTTGAAGATGGTGACAGTCTGACCAGGCCCTCCTGGTCAGCACCACGGGCAGAGACCAAGGCCGCACCCACATGCGGAAAGGCGCTGTGACGTCTCCCTTCAGGAGCCATACTGGCTGTGGGACTCCAGGGCCTTTAAAAAAAGTTTTCCTATCTCACGTTCAGGTCCTTCATCTATTTTGAGTTTACTTTTGTATATGGTGTAAGAATGAAATCCGGCCATTTGTAGCAACATGGATGGAACTGGAGGGTGTTATGCTAAGTGAAATAAGTCAGGCAGAGAAAGACAGATACTGTATGTTTTCACACATATGTGGATCCTGAGAAACTCAACAGAAGACCGGGGGGAGGAGGAGTTACAGAGAGGGAAGGAGGCAAACCAC